GCGGCAAGATATTTCCCACCGGATGCCTCGGGTATTCATTCATCAACCAACGCCAATCTGCATATCACGCGGAGAGGTTGGGGTCCTGCGGATCGCGGGAGGAGGGGGAGGTTTTGGGTAATCTGTTCCGTTCGAAGGGACTCTCCGCTCGCTTCGTTTTTGTTCTAGACTCCTGATCTTCACCCCCGATCTCCTCCCTCCGCCCCCACCCCCGAGGATGTTCTTTTTATTTTAAATCGCAATCGAACGGGGACGGGCGGAGGGACGTGTGTGTGCATTTTCGGGAAGAGCTGCGACTATCGATTCAACCGGATTGATCGTCATTAATCTGCTCCCGTTGCATATCCTCGCTTCAACCGTTCACGGTCAAGCGTTGTTGCCGCTTTGTGCATGTTTAGTTTTTAGTTTATCTACACTGGAAAAAAAAAAAAAAACACATTTGATCTAGAGTACAGGCTCATAAAGAAAAAGTACTCTTGATTCAATCAGAATCTAGCTTAAATCAAGAACCAAGTCTCTTAATTTAAGCGAATTTCGTTTTGATTCAAGCAAAAATCCGATTGAATCAAGAGTATTTTTTACTGTCATTGTTTTCAAGAGTCTGGACTCTAGATCCAGTGTGTTTTTTTCCCAGTGTATCTTTTGACTATGGAACTAGTGGCGTGGCGTGCTTTGCGATTAATCGATTGATCCGCCATTTAAACCTATGGAAAAGGATCGAGGAATAGGGTGTTCGCAATAAACACCATGGTATAATCGATTTCTTACCATACCTTCAAACGGGGGAATATAGATAATCGATCATTCGCGCTTCGCCACCGACTGGAGCATTCATTTCGAATTTTCAGAGATTACCCTCTTAATTTAATCTGAAGTATCTGAAAATTTTAGGGGGAAAACCATGAAAATCACGTTTTCTTTCTTTCTCTCTCCCGTCAAGTTACTATGGAAAAACTCATCGCTTTGAGAACATTTTTTCATCGTAAAGTACACTCATAGTATTCAAGTAGCGGATTTGATTACACAGACGACTCTGGGGTTTTTTTTAGCAAGTAGAACCAAAATCATATAAGTAAAGGAAATAGGATTGTAGTTGCGAAAAGAGGAATCCGAAATGTAACAAAACCGTACCCTATTAATTTATTGTAATAAAATAACAATATACACGTGGAGAAAAATCAAGCAAGGTGTTCGAATTTTGAATACAGGAAACCCCGACCCCTCGCTTATGCATCGAATTCGACATTTTCAATGTATCCCCATCACACTGGAAAAAAAACACATTGGGTCTAGAGTCCAGACTCTTAAAAACATCGACAAGAAAAAATACCCTTGATTCAATTAGATTTAAGCTTAAATCAAGAACCAAGCCTCTTAATTTGAGCGGATTTCCTTTTGATTTAAGCTTAAATTTGATTGAATCAAGAGTATTTTTTCTTGTCAATGTTTTCAAGAGTCTGGACTCCGGATCCTGATGTGTTTTTATTTCCAGTGCACGAGAATTTCGATAAGAAATCGAAGGGTAGCGCTTAATCCCGCACTCAGAAGACCAATCGGAGGCGACCCAGCTCTATTCGGCAACGCGCATCTGGCACAGCCGTAGCCTCCTTTTTTCTTCTCCTTTACCCCTCTGTTTTTTCCTCTTTCAATTACCCCCTCCCCCTCCCCTCGCCGCGTCTGTGCGGTGGCTTCGCGGATGTCTCCTTTGTCCGGCGCGGAGGTTCGACATGGAAATCGGGAAATAATGTCAACTTGGCCGCTCTTTCAGATTCAGATTCGGAGATCGGGGTCTCGGCTGGGCTCTTTGTCCAAACCAGGAAGTCTCTGACAGAACCCCTTCCCCCTCCTCCTCCCCCCNCCCCCCCCCCCTGACAGAGCTCACCCCCGCGCGGCTCGAACTGTTCCTCCGCGAGCTCAATGAACGGAATTATAGTTCATTCATGATCGCGAACGAATCCTCCGAAGAATAGCTCATCTCCGACCGGAATCTTCAGTGGCGTGGCGTGAACTGCGATTTATCGATTGTTATGCCGTTTAAACTTATGGAAAAGGATCGATAAACAGGGTGTTCGCAGGGAACACCTTCATAATCGATTCTTTACCATAGGGTTAAATGGAGTAACAATCGATACATCGCAATTCACGCCACGCCACTGGAAATCTTCGGTTGATTTGGACCGAGTCTCAGAGGAGGGAGCCATCTTGGATCAAGATCGAACCGTGAAAAAAAGTTTTGAAGTTTACTCTCCCGTACTATAGATCAATGCCCAGAGGCGGATCCAGCAATTTTGCAACACCGGGTTTTCTCCATTTAAATCTATACTAAATAATCGGTTTTTGTCGGAGCACCTGGCCCCTCCAAGAATCGATACATTTCCATAGGTTTAAATGGAGAAAATCCGGTGTTGCCAAATTGCTGGATTCGCCAATGTCAATGCCTATTTTTACAATCAGAATATTGTCTCTCGGCTCGGAATTTTCACAGGAGAAATTTGCGGTTGGTGAAGCTCAAAAAAGAATTCGAGGAACTCGTTTTCCAATTCCGTCAACGGCGAAAAAAAAATCAGATTTTCTTTGCTTTCTACTGGATACGTATTTTGTGAGTCTCCGAATGGTGTTTGCCTCCTTAAGTGAGAGTTTCGGCCGTTCGAGGAGAGTTCTTTGAGGACTTCTAAATGAAAATTTCACTAATTTTTCTTGTTTAATTCGACGCAAAAGTTAGCGATATTGATAAAAACTTCAATTGTTTGAGTCAATGTTGCAACCTTTAAATGAAGACGACGAATTCAGCTCGGAACTTGAGTTGGATCCAGTATGAATGAATCAAGAGAAGAAATTTCACCCTTCCCTCCAGCTGCGGAGCGTGAATGAGCGATTATTCCCCATTTGAAGCCGTGGTAAAGAATCGATTATTAAGGTGCTCGTTGCGAACACCCTGTTCATTGATACTTTTCCGCAGGTTTAAATGACAGATCAATCGATATATCGCAAAACACGCTGGGCCACTGCTCCCCTCTCATCTAGCTCCTCTTCAAGTCGATTGACGTAACCTACCATAAAGGCGGTTCCAAGGCCAGGGGCAAGTCATACAAGGAGGGCCAATGTGAGAATTGGACGTATTTCTATCAAACAGAACTATGTGCATTCAGACATGAGCCATGAGATCCATAAGAATATACGCATAACAGGGCTCACGTCATAATGCACTTAGTTCTGTTGAAAAGAAATACATCCAATTCCAACAACGCGCGGAGAAGGAACCGTAGCGCGGCGGAAGCGTTTCCATTTTGTGGGAGGCGAAAAGGCGGTCGGAGATTTTGTGTAAAAAAGGAAGCGATCGGCGTTCCATTGGAGAATCGACGGGCGCTTTATTCGGGAACCACCCCGAAAATATCGGAAAACCACCCCTCTCGCCATTGTCGCGGAACGGGCTCTTCGCGTCCGAATCGCGCGCTCCCACCCCTCCCCTTTCGGCGGGCTCCTCTACCTGGCGAGCCGCCCGATTGGCCGCCGCCGCGATCGGGCTCGTGATTGGGTCTTCGACGCCGATCGAGGCGATCGGATACGCCGATACCGGGTGTGCTCTGATTTCGCCCCGCAGCCAGGTATCCGGCTCCGCTCTTGCCAAGTTATCGTCTTACACTGCCGTGCTAAGGAAAAACGCCGCTTGAAAATTAGAGAGTTGCCAAATTTCCGCCGATAAAATGTTTATTTTTGAGGAAAGTTATAAATATTTTTCCTTGTAATTTCCAGAATCTTCAGGTGAGATTGTGAACAAAATTGTCTGAAAAATTGGGAGGGAAATATTCACAAGTTTACCAGGAAATTCGCGTTTGATCAAAGGAAATTTGGCAACGCCTGAAGGCTCATACGACGTTCTTCCTTAGCACGTAAGTACACCGTATCAGCATTCCAAATTGCCGAATTGCTTCCTAGGAAATATTTATTTTCCAAAAATTTCATGTATATTTTTCCTTGACATTTTCAGACACTTCAGATCAAAGTGCGAACGAAATTCTCCAACAAATTTGAGGAAAAAAATTCACAAATTTTCCTGTAAATTTGTGATTTATTGAAGGAAATTTGGCCACGCCTGGAGGCCCCTACAGCGTTTTTCCTAAGCACGGCAGTACATACTGGACTCGCAGAGACAAAACGAATCTTTTCGTTTACATGCAGAGGTTACAAATAGAGAACCGGGAAAGTCGGAGTATATGTGACTGCAATTACAGGGCCTCCCCCCTTTTCCTTCATTTTCCAAAGTAATGAGAAAGTTCTGTTCGAAGGCCAGGAAGCGTTAGGTAATTTGAAACTAGAGAAGGTATGGAAAGCTTGGTTCCAAAGCAATTCAATTTTTACAAAATAACTAAAAGTTTTTTCAGAACCGTTTTTAGCCAGTGGTTTCGAAAATATTTGCCGCGCATGATGTGAGAGGCGTCATCGGAAGAGGGGGGATTGCCCCATAGCGGGGAGCCCGGATCCCCTCGATCATCGAACAGAGACCATCAGCGCACAACTTAGCTGACCGGGGGGGAGGGGGGGATAAGACCCCCCTAATCCACAGATTGGGGGACCTCGACCGTCGCCGCCATCGTTACACTCGAAAGGGCATGGTAATAGCACTTCAAGGTTGCGTTCAAACACCGGTGAGTCCTAACTACTCGCCATTCGTGAGCATTTGGGTGAGAAACTAGTTTTAAAGCGATTCTTCTGGACAAATTTCTCGCCTGTATGGGGGATTTTAAGCATAGATGCTTTGGTTGCACACACAAAAAAAAAAAAAAAAAAAAAAAAAAAAAAAAAAAAAAAAAAAAAAAAATTAACAAATCTATGAGGTAAAATATTGAAGTGTTCACCTTACTCTTTCCTCAAGCGCTCAGCCGGTAGGGAGCGATTTTCGATTTCAACTTGCCTCTAGAATTCTTGTACACCGAAGCAATGTGTTCAAATGTAATAGAGTTTCTCCGTTTGTTTTTAATTGTAATTTTCTTTTGTTGCAGCGCGCCACTTTGGCGGAGAAGGAGGTTAGCTCGTTAAAAGAGCAACTTTCCTCCCATCACCCCCTAAACCATCACGATAAAATGGCCGGATCGCCGACGTCGCAAGATGACGTCAATCGTTCCGGCGCCGAAGAGCTCTCGGCCAAAGATAAAGAGGTAAGCTACAAACAACCTTGCCACTTCCACTTGGGATACCTGAACGTTAAAGTTTGACTTTTCACACCCCAACCCAACAAAATTTGCTCCTGTAGCAAGGAGAGGAGTCAAACGGGTAAAATTTCAAAAAATGTCCGAAAATGCCCTTAAACCGTTTAAAACTGACCCTTACTACCCGGACAAAGGTCAACTCTCAAATACTCTCCCCAATAATATATCGTCGCCTACCTGACATAAGGGCGTAACTACACTCTGCAATGAACCCTGTCTTCCGTACATTTCAATGCTTTTCCGGGCTCATCTCAATGAGTAGTTACGCCCTTATGTCAGCAAAGCGACGATATCATGTATCTTTCAATAACCTGCACGTTGTGTACAGACACTATCTGAACCTCATGGAAGTTCTCTGCGTTTATTCCAACGTGAACGTATTCACGCATTAATTCTCGGGATAACGTCTCCGCACTCACACACTCACACACAAACGTCTCGCGGTCGCATCTTTTTTTTCACGTTTACGACCGCGACTTTCTAAAGGCAGCGTCCGGCGCCGCGACTAAACGGTCATAAAAAAAAGCCGTGTATCTTTTCCTGCCGCCTCCCCCTCGTCCCGCAGAGCCCGCAATCGCGGGGGCCCAAAAATTGGGAGCTGCTAGTTCCTGCCGAGCTATTAAATCCCGTTTTATGACGGCTCCCATACATACTGAAATAATTAAGAGAGGTGCGCGCTGTCTCGGGCGCAGTTGCGGGGCCGCGGAAAAGTCCTTACATCCCCCGGGGAAAAGTGGAGTAAGTGTTGTAAAAAGCTCCTCAAGTGGCAGCTGTGCGGTTCCTGTTGCCACATCGAAAAGGATGTACTACACTAAGAAAAAAGTATGGTTACATCCACTATAAGTCTACTTGATTTTTATACAGTGATACAATTGAGTGAAAATAACCAGAATTTTAGTAGCAGTTAGTAGAACTCTGGTGATACTTACCATAATATGGCAAATCCACCATAAGGTCTGGTGTTGATTACGATACACGGGTCACTGTGTCAGAGTATGGTAAAATCTACCATAATTTTCTTTTCAGTGATGCCCTGATTTTACAGACAGTGCTCCCATTTCCCGGGCTTAATTCCGAATTTCAAAGGTTTGCCCGAAATTTTCAATTGTTGTTCGTAAATTCCCCGGGATTTTGGGGTTTTTTGTCGATTTTTCTATGAAAGTTCATGATTTTTTTTCAAAATCAAATTTGATGATTTTCTTATCGAACTTGACTATGATGATATGACAAAAGGATGAAAGGAATATCTGACACCTCACCATAAAATGTGATTTTAAGACATTTTGTTTAAATAAAATCTCGTATCTATACAATTACAAAAAGTTCTGAAAAAAAAAATCCAAGTGCAGTTGTTCAGAACAGAGGACGGCTAATTTTTACTAGATCTTTTGCTGGTACTTCATTTTTTACATCGCCTTTCAAAGGTCGGAAAAACTGAACCTACTTTTCAATTCAATTTCCTTTTGGAGTAGTCACCTTTCCATGAAACTGAACTGATGCGCATAGTAAAAGTTAGCCTTATTTTTCAATGCTCACCACTGTGTTGCGAGCCATAACATTCCTCCTGTTATGTGCATCCGTGTTTTTCGTGTACTTTTAATGTTTGATTTTATTCGTCTCCTCTCACGTGCGCACGTGGGGGGGGGGAAGCGGGGGCTGCCGTTTTTGGACCCTCTCCCTTTTTTTTAATCCAGGAGGCAGAAGTTGATGAAGGGAAATTTTTCGATGAATAGCTGCATTGGATCAATGCACTTGCACCGCGCTCATTGAGGCAGCGCGAATGTTTTTCAAAAGTGAAATGAGGGGTAAAAAACCAAGAAAACCCTCAATACTCACTTCGAATGCACGCTCACTTAGCTCTGCATCGAGTAGCGAGTGTGAAAGGGAAAAATTGGCTTCATTGCACGCTCCCGTTCGAGCACGTTTTGAGCCGATAGGGCGTTTACACTGCGAGCGCCTGGCGGAACAAAAAATAGACAAATAGCAAGAATGCGAATCATGCCCACCCGAACGGAGAAGCCTTTCAAAAACGCCAGTGATTGCAAAAACATCGGAGAAAGGTTAATTTTTACGAGCTTTTTAATCGCTCGCTTTTCAAAAATACGCTGAAGTGGCCCCCGAAGAGCAGGTGAAGGGTTGAATCGGCCCGCTGTAAAAATCTCTCTATGCTCAACATTCTCGATGCATATTAACCACCTGCATTTGCAAATCGGATAGGAAAGAATGACGACACTGGTCACTAGGTTCCTAACTATATTCAAGGAGATCTTTTCTACGGGATGATTATTGAAAATAATAGAAAAAGCGATAGACAAAGATTTCATAGGGTTCATAATTGAAAATTTTAAAGAGAGTCAACTCACTTCTATTGCCGATAGCCTTAATTTATAGAATTCCGCACAGTAGATCACTGGATGTAACTGAGCTATAAAAAAAGCGATAAAGCGAAGATTCGAAGAGCCTGAATGGGAAGTTTTTTTGAGAAGGAAACCAATTGAAAGTGACATTATCTATCGCTGAAGTCCTCAGAGAAAATTTGAACCGATTTCATCGATGGTGCTAGGGAATTCCCTCTGTAGCATAAAGTGAATCTTGAAGTGTTCAAGAGAATTTGCACCTTTGCTCCCTTGTAAAAAAAATAAATCGTCCCATAGAGATTGACAATGGCTGATGTTCTTTGAAAAAAACCACCCCAAATAATGATTATCACTAGGGGTTTCCTCTCTTCGGTTGAAAATCAGCAAATCATGCAAAAAAAACCAAGTTTGCTGCAAATCGTGCTGGCTGAAAAGTCTCGGATCGACTCAGCTGAGAAAAAAATCACACTCAGCAAGAAAGAGGAGGAGAAGGAAAGAGGGATACCCGATCCCAGTCCCCCCCTCCCTCACCTCTCCATCCTTTGATTCTCCATATTTCCTGGACTACCTTTTCCGGAAGGTTCGCCGAGGCGTGATTACTTCATTTAAGAATCGGAAAAAAACACCAGGAGTAATACTTAATACCTCATTATGCTCGGAGGGAGGGCTGAGGGGGTTGAAAGCGAAACACATTTTCCACCCGATAAAATACACTTGCAGTGCACTGCGATGCTGCAGAAGAACGCCGTATAAGCCTTTGGACGTTGCCAAATTTCATTTGATACAATAGGAATTTGCATAGGGTAACTTGAAGTAACTTATTTTCTTATTTTCCAAAGTCTTCTATTCGCAATTTAATCTGAAATATCTCAAAATATCTAGGAAAAATCTTCATAGCTTCCTTTAAAAATACATTTTATATCGAAAGATATCTGGCAACACTCGAAGGGCCATGCGACGTTTTTCCATAGGACGGCAGAACCGCGAGAGTGCGTTAGCATGCACTTTTTATCGTAAATCTCCAATGCCAATGAATGGCGCATTTTAATTTATATATTTTTCCGGATCTCAGTAATTTTTCCACACGATCATGGAACTTTGAAATTAGACGCGTTTAACCAAGAGAAGTCTATCTACTTCAGGGCTTATTGAGTCACGATTTTATCGCAAAATTTATGAGATGAAATGGCTATTTATCGCAATTTTTCATCCGATAATATTGCGACGTCGATAAAATCGCCATACATTCTCCGATCAAATCCCTCCCGAGCTTAACTGACTCATTGAGCGGATTTCTTTTTGATTCAAGCAAAAATCCTATTAAATCAAGAGTATTTTTTGTCGTCAATGTTTTTGAGAATCTGTACTCTAGATCCAAGCGACTTTTATTTGGATATAGAGCCCATCGCCGAAGGCTCCGGTGAAGTGTTGAGCCGCGAGGGTTGAAGAAAAAGAAAAGCCAAGGAGGATAAGATTTGAATTCAGCCGTAGTCCAGATCCGCTCCACCGATTTTCCATCATTGTTGGGCCTCTCCCCCTCCCCCTCCCCTCGGATGGAGGGGCTTCAAGACGTTCCATATCCGTTTCCGGCGGCGGAGCCAGAACCTGTCTTTTATTCCGAAAAATAATAATCCATCCGTTGGTCTCTTCGCCCGCGTCTGGGTCTCCACGACAGGGAAGCACATAGGCCCACGTATTTCTGTCCACTCATTAATTATAATCAGTATTTCCACCGGGGGCGCCAAACCGTCGAAAATGTACACTTGCATGCACGTTGAAGGTCAACAGCCTCTTCAAACGTTCTACGGAACCAGAGGGTCCGCGGCCATACCCGCAGACAGAGCTTCCTGCGAGCTGATTATTGAAATTGATAGACAAAGCTATAGACAAAGAAGACATAAGGAGTATTGTGCGATCCTATTAGTTGAAATGGGTCTGAGCTTGCAGTTAATTTTAAATTAATGTATTTATTTTAGGTCTATAGATCAGATCCATAATTACTAATCAATTTCGAAAATTTTATTTTAGTTTTGAAATTAAAAGCCATATTACGTGCATAAAAAGAGGTAATTAAACGAGGGAAGGATGATCCCTCCATATCTCTTTTGTCTTCTTTGTCTATAGCTTTGTCTATCAATTTCAATAATCGAACATATCTCAACAATTTAAAGAGAACAAGCTCATCTTGAGGTGAAAGGCGGAAAAATTATAAAAATCGAGCTCGTTGGGCTTCAGGAAGAACTATGCTAATGAAAATGAGATTTTACATTGATTCAATGAGGAAAACTTTACAATCGTATGAGTTAAATAAATGCTGACAAGAACTCTGTCGCAGGTGAACCTCACGCACAAGTTTTTTTTTTTTTTTTTTTTTTTTTTTTTTTTTTTTTTAGCATGAACACGTCCAAATGTATCATTATTTTAAAAATTTGAGTTACTTCCCAAAAATTGAAGAGAGTGAGCTCATTCGGAGATTATTTGAAGTCAATAGTCGCAAGAATCATGAACATCTGCCTGAGGATATGTAGATGTATTTACGCTAAAAATAACTATGTCCATAGTTATATTGTGCAACATAGTTACTTTTAGCAT